ACAGGCAAGTAATACATGTACATGTATGTGTGCTTGTGTGTAAGTACATGATGTATATGTATCCTCCAACGTACACGTACATATATTACATGTATCTTTTTTGCTCTTTTTAGTATACAAACTACTCTGAAACTTTAATAATATAGTTTGGAGATTATTTCATTCAGTTCCTAAACACTTTTATACTTTTATTGGTATAATCATTGGGTGTTTCATATTTTACTTAATCAGTTACTTCCTGCTGCATGCACGTTCTTGCACATATGAATATACCTGCAAGATTAATTCATGTGGTGGAAGTGTTAATCAAAGGGTACATGCACTAGTAATTTTGATAGATGGTCGTATCAGTTTCACCTCCCACAGCTATAGTTTAAAAGTAATGTAGTGTTTTTAAATCAAAGAGAATTTGTACGTAGGAAAACAGTCTCCACAAGTAGAATGTCTAGAGACAAGATAACAGAGCAAAAAATCATTGTGCCAGCATCCTGGGACTCACAGCGACCAATTTATGAGGAACTGAGTGAGCCGTGAGTGGATGGATGATATGAAGAGTAAAAGTAATGATAAAGAGAAAGAGTTGGATGATGTTAAGTTATAGAAGAATGTAGAAGAAGGAAACTGACACTGAGGGTTCACTTTGGGATTTGGTCCTGACCACAGTGCACTGAGACAGGTGTCATTCTGCTCACTTCAGTAGAAGAAAGTTAGAGTTAAGGGTAACACTCATGTATGTTTTGAAATCTGGGGTTAACTTGTTTTACTGGTTCTGGAAGAATGGGTAGGGCTTTGTTTTCCAGAGTTGAGGTTGGTCACAGAAATCATCTTGGGTCTTCACAGTGGAAAGAGGTCAGAAGATCAGTGAGCAGATTGTCATTGGCACGCCTGGGACTGTCCTGGACTGGTGCTCTAAGCTCAAGTTCATTGACCCCAGAAAGATCAAGGTTTTTGTCCTGGATGAGGCTGACGTGATGATTGCTACCCAGGGCCATCAAGATCAGAGCATCCGCATCCAGAGGTAGGAACTCTTGAGCAGAGNCACCGCACTCTACCGAGTGAGCCACAGGCCGGCCCAAAATTTTTACTTATTTTTAAGATAGTTAACACATTCACATGTTTCAGAATTGAAAAGGATCTATAATAGAAACTTTTCTTTCTCCCATGCCCTCCATCCACCTACTTCTCCTCCCTAGAGACAGCCACTACTAACCAGTTTCTCATGTGTCCTACCAGAAATATGGTATGCAGCTACAGGCAAGTAATACATGTACATGTATGTGTGCTTGTGTGTAAGTACATGATGTATATGTACCCTCCAACGTACACGTACATATATTACATGTATCTTTTTTGCTCTTTTTAGTATACAAACTACTCTGAGACTTTAATAATATAGTTTGGAGATTATTTCATTCAGTTCCTAAACACTTTTATACTTTTATNGCTACCCAGGGCCATCAAGATCAGAGCATCCGCATCCAGAGGTAGGAACTCTTGAGCAGAGAGGAACTTCTCACCCTCTTGATCTGTGGCATCTTCTCCCTTTACTTCAAACACCTCTTCTTGCTTCTATCAGGTTCTCTACTGTAGTACTTTCAGTGGCATTTGTTTGATGGGCCATTTCCATGTCAGCACTGACTATGCTCTCAGGCTGGGTTGAGGAAGGCAGCCTAGGGACTCCAACCTCACTCCTGTGCCCACCCCAGCTCTGCTCCTCCTCCTTCCCCCCTTGCAGCCTTCCTGGGGATATAGACCATCCAAGCCTGGGGAGGCTGCATCTGTTGGTTCCAGTGAGAACCTCGGGGTCATGCAAAATGCCTGGGCCTTACCTTGCAGGATGCTGCCCAGGAACTGTCAGATGCTGCTTTTCTCTGCCACCTTTGAAGATTCTGTGTGGAAGTTTGCCCAGAAAGTGGTCCCGGACCCAAACGTTATCAAACTGAAGCGCGAGGAGGAGACATTGGACACCATCAAGCAGTATTACGTCCTTTGCAATAACAGAGACGAGAAGTTCCAGGCCTTGTGTAACCTGTACGGGGCCATCACCATTGCCCAAGCTATGATCTTCTGCCATGTGAG